AAATCAGAAGTTCTCAATAAGAGATAGTTTTGTAATGCCTGGGGACATTTTTGGTTGCCAAAACAGAAATAGAAACAAAAAACAGAGCAGTGCAACTGGCATCCTCTTAGTAGAGGCCAGAGATACCACATAGATAGGTCTTGTACCCCCAGTGATTGTGCTGAAATGGCGGCAGTTCTGAGACTGAGCACAAAAGCCCTGGTGTAAGTTCTGCCCCTGCCCCACCAAGATGTGAGAGCTGTGGTTCAGTGGACGCTGGACCTGTGGAGTTGAGGGATGAGGACCAGGCTGTCCAAAGCCACGGACTGCCTTGCAGAGAAGAATGCTTGGAAAAGCTCATGCCTCTCCATGACCTCTGTCAATGCCCTTACCTGCCACCTGGCCATTATGGCAGTTCATAACTCCTTTATGTTTAAGAAAAAAGGTGACAAGTTTTAGCTGGAAAAATGTAAACTTCCAGAAATTACCTGTCTCATTAAATGTGCTCCCCTAAGTTTAACACAGCAGACCTGTAATTTCATTGGCTCACCACAGGCCCTGTGGTCCATTTTAGCTGCTCTTTCATTTCTCATGGCATTGCCGTCTTCTCTAATTGTCCCTTTCTGAAACCCAAGGAAAGAACACTTCAGGCACTTTGGTGTTGTGTTTTTCTTTCTTACATTCTTGAGGCTAGGTTGTTAGAGCTGGGATCGGAGGGGTTGGCTCATTGTAAAGGAAGGAAAGCTCTGCTTGCAAGTAGGTGTGTGTAACTTGCTTCCGAATTGTAGTTTGCATCTTTAGTGTCCCCAAGGCCCATGTTTGGAAGGCGTAGCCCCAGGTCTGGCACTCTGGGAACCTTTAGGAGTTGGAGTCGGTGGACGTTAGATCACTGGGGGTTTGCCCTTGGAGGGTTGTCTCTCTTTGCTTCCAGGCCACTGGGAGGAGAACAGGCCCCCTCTTCCACACTCTCCCACTGCGATTCACTGTACCTGCACATTCCCAAAGCAATAAGGCCAAGTGACTGTAGTCGGAGTCCTTCAAACTATGAGCCACAATAAATATCGCCTCTTCTCCTGTTGATTTTCTCATGTGTTTTGTCACAGTAAGAGAAAGCCAATTAACATCAATGTTAACAGAATGGTTTTCTGTGTTGGCTTGGATTTGGGACACTGACCAGCTGTGTACGAAAGAAGAATTTGCTCTTAGCTGCTGAATCCTAGAGGATGGTATAGGTCCGTATGTCCCAGTGTGCCACACTGCTTGGTGAGGGGCCTTGTGTTGTTGATGCTGCTTTAAACGCGGGCATCCTCTTGCTGCAGAGCTGGTGTGCACTGAGTGTTTATTCTTACTTTCATCTTCCTCCTGGTTTATCTTTATCATTGTTGGTTGGTTTTGATGTGGGGCTGGGAATATCTACCCAGACCCTTTCCCGAGTGGGCTGGTGTGGTGGCCCAGACCTCCTTGGTTTTGACAGAAATATATTTCTCTAAAACGGAGCTCTTTAAAGACACCACTTGATGAAATTCTGTGGTTGAAGTTTCAGGTCTGGAGGATAAGGAAGAGTGGTCTACATTGTGTCTTTGCCTCTGGATCTGAGTTATAGAGTGGCCTCCAGTTTTGAAGGCTATGACTTCTTTCCCAAGGGTGAAAATCATACTTTTAATTAATCCAGGAAATCCAGTAATTCAGGAAAATCTGCACTTGTCCATCCCTTGTCTAGTCCAGTGTCCTGTGCCTAGGGACCATCAGGCTGACTGTTGGACAGATGAGGCTCTGGATCCCAGTTCTCCTGTCTGTTCCACTGCTGCCACCGTCCTTAGCACCTCTTATCCCTGCAGAGAGCAGACTCCTGCCTTACCTTGGTTTGCAGGATTTTTATTTGCTTTTCTGCATTGTAGAATCTGTTCCATTCCTAAAGCCTTCAAATCCTACTTGCTCTGGCAGTCTTAGCTCTGGTGAATCCTGCACTACACTTCTTTATGCCCATAATTCATCCGTGAATAGAGAGAGGTGTGATGCAGTTGGCATTCAATAAATATCCAGCAAATGAGAGACTAAACCTACCTGAATCATCCTATCTAGTTAGTTTTTTGATACTGGATCAACTCCTATGAAATTCATCATTTTTTCTTACATTTATTTATTAATTTTTATTATTTGTATTGAACCCAGAGCTTTGTGCTAATACGCACACGTGCTGTGTCTGAGCCACATCCCAGCCCCTCTACTCTAAAATTTCCATCACCATTTCCTTACCTTTTAGAAAACTGCAGTCCAGTGTCTGTTAAAGGCCTTGCCCCTTAATATCATTACATTGATAATGACATTTAGAAATTACTTTTGGGGGAGTTATTCAAACTACCAATCTATTTTCTCTGTCCTAAAATCTTCCTCACTCTTTTCTTTGAATGTTATCTGATTTCATTGCATTTTTTGTTCACTGAGCATTGAGGGATGCAGTTCTCGGCACCTCTTCTTTGTCTGGGCTCCTTGCCTTGTGAGTTCCGTTTTCTGTTCCTGCTGTAGCGCTTCTTTCCCTGCTGACCACAGGGACCAGCTGAAGCCAGAGAGCTCAGCGTTTGCTGCGTTCTGTTATTAAGATGCCGGCAGCCTGTGCTCTTTACTAAATGTGTTCTCTCTGCACTCAGGAAGTGCAAAACCTAGCTTGACACAAAGGGGCTGTAGTTCCTGAAGCGCCTCTCTGTGCTGTTTCCTCCTCTTTCTATGGCTATTTCTTTTGATTACTACTTTTAAACAAACAACTTGCTTTATCTTTATTTCTCTGATGCTTCCCCTTAGTAAATATCAACCGAGTTTATGATTCCAGCCATTCCACACTTTATATGCTATCTGTGAATCGTTTTCTTTCTGAGCACCCAACCTGGAGTTTCAGCAGTTTACTGCATTTCCCTAAATATTCATTCAGCATCTGAAACCCGACATGCACAAGCCTCAGTGATAATGTTCTCATCTAAACCAAACCCCGCTTTCGGTGATCACGCAGAGTTACTCTGCAGAGTTACTTCCATTATCGATTTGGAGTCCATCTGTGCCTGTTAGCTCCGTGTTTCAGAAATTTAGCAGATTAGAACAACAATAGTTATATTTTATGTTCTATGGATCCAGAATTTGGGCCGCGCTCACTTGTGTGACTCTTTGGCTGTGGATATCGGCTTTCGCCCCACATTTGGTGCTGTGGCAGGGATAACTCCGTAACTGGTCTCAGTAAGAACAGTCAACCAGGGCAGCTCAGTGTACCTCTGTGGCAGAGCAGTTGCAAGGTAGTTGGACTTCTGTCCCGAGGTCACAATAACCCCACAGTAGAAATCACCAGTCTCATTGGGCCTGATCTTAGAAAAAATTCTGTTGTATTGACTATTGAGCAAAGCCACCTTAGACCCAACCTAGAGCCATGGGAAGGAACTTTGACCTGAACTGTGACCATTTGTCATACCTGCCTTTACCTCTTCAGTTTATTTTCTCTTTGTCTTCTCATTTGTGATACCTAGAGTCATAGCTTTATTTATTTCTTTTTGGAACAGTTGTAGTTGTTTCAAAATAACTTGTCCATCTCTGTACTCTGCAATTTCCTATGTACCCTACTGTGAGAATGATCTTATGAATATTCCCTCTGAAATTAATGTATTCTGATTATTGATCTTGTTTGTCAACTCGGTTGGCTTGTGAGGCCCTTGGTCAATAAGGAAAGCACACTTTTGCATGTGTCTGGGCGAGTTCTGGAGTTGTGATCTGGAGGGCACATCTGGTCCCTGACTCTTTTTCTCTCAGGTGCTTTTCCTTTACACTCTGCTTTCTGGCAACCATGATTTGAGCAGCAGTAGCTACCTTGGAGCCATCTAACCATGGACTAAACCCTCTGGGACTTGAGCCACAGTAAACTTCTCCTTTAAGTTGTGGTGTCAGGTATTTTGCCCCAGCAAAGATAACCAGTACATGTGTTATGGTAGCTTCTTTCCTGGAAGAAAAGAACTCACGCTTTAGTATAATTTGCCTTCCTGATGGTAACTCAGTCTTTTAGCTCCTCGTCTGTTTCCCTTTGTGGTCAGCAGCATCTAGATGAGTATAATGCAACATCCCCAGACATGGTGCATGCTCCGATGTGCCTTTCGTCCTCTTTCTTTGGCATGGAATGACCTTGCAGAAATCCCCACCTGTGGAAATCCTCTTTATCCTTCAGTATTGAGCTTGAGCACAGATTCCTCCCCCTCCCTGGGTCTCTCCTTGTTCTTTCTGAAGGACAGCACTACTGCTACTTCACCTGAATTCCCAAATCACTCCTCCTCCTTTTTTGTAGGTTTCTAAGGACTTGGGAGCCTGGTTGTTTTTACAAGCTCATCTTCCTTTTAAGCTTGTTAGTGTTTTAAATTGTTCATAGTCAGTAATGCTTTCCAGCCTCTGACATTGTACTTTCCTGTCACCCAATTGCTACTGAATCTAGAGTCTGTTTGATTCTCTTGGTCTAGAGCCAGAACGTTCACAGGCTGATCATCTGTTACTTCAAAAGGACACATGTACCAAACATGGATGGTTTATGAGTTAGGCCGCATAATGCTAATCAAGGTTCTGCTGAGACAATGGCAGTGGTTTTACCGTATAGGACATTTTAAATGTGAAAGAGGATGGGCAGGGATTCCTACGGTTTTCTTATTCAGCTCTCTGCGTTTGCACAGGAAATGATAACACGCTTCCAGGGGAACCTACTTAGTGACTTCTTTACCTTCCGTGCCTTACTTAGAAGTGATTGGTGTGACTTAGTATAATTTAAAGTTGGGTTATCTTCTAAAATTAGAGAGATCTATAATCCCTCTCCCCCTCCCTCCCTCCTTCTCTTTCTCTCTCTCTGAAGCCTCACTAGAAAACAAGTAGACTGTCCATGTTCTTTAAGGTCTCTCAACTCTACTAATGATAACATTGAGCTTTGTTCTAAGCTCTTCCAAAACACCATCCTTCAGAAGATCTGAGCTCATACTCAGCAGATTGTTCTCTTTTGCATGTTTTAGGCACTTTTCCCACATGAGGGGAAGACCAGCTTCATAGAAGACAAGTGCCTGGAGTAGGAGTCGCCTTGCCACCATGAAGGGAGCCTGCGTCCTTGTGTGGCTGTTCTCGAGCCTGGGGCTGTGCAGACTGGCCCAGCTGGAGTCACATGATGCCCAGTGCCAGAGAGCTGAGCACCCAGTCATTTCCTACAAAGGTGAGGAGCCTGTGTGCTCTGATTGCAAAGCTACCATCTACATGCAGATCCTACTTTTATTGGCGGAGAACAGTAGAGTGTGTGTTGCTCTACTGTTCTCCAACTCTTGATTTGATGTTTTTAAAAATAAAAGCAGAAATTTTAAAAACGTCCTCACAAAGTGGTCCTACCCTCATGAAGATTCCGAGAAGGGACCATCGTGTGTAGAAAATCCCATTATTTGAGGACATCTTCAGTGAACTAATGTTGCTGGTCTCCTAGGCATTTGAGCCAGAGAATTAAAACCATGACTCAAAATAACAGCAAAACTGAGTTAAACCAGAAGAATTCTTCGCTCTGGCTTTTTCCAGCAAAACCTTCATCTTATCACAAAACTCACTCCTTTTTCCCTAACTAATGCTGTTTGGCAGCAGAATTAGTTTGATGTCTCAGGTATCTGCACAAAACCGTATGATTAACTAACTTTCATTATACACCTTCATTCTTTTTTTGTTCATTTAACAAAAAATTTGTCGAGTCTTTATACCTAGGCTACTTGAAGCCGATGAAAAAAGAAATGATTTGCCCTGACCTGATTGAGTTAGCCTAAATCAGACCTTAGATTTTATTAATTTGCTCAACAAGTAGCTTTATAATTTGTTATTTTAAAAGCTTTATCTCATAAATTTTAAACTTCGAACAAGAAGAAGAATGGGCTAAAGAAGAGCCATTCTCATTCTTCTCAATTTATGCATTTAAATCCCACCCAGGCTCCATTTCATACCCATTGAATTATTTTGCAGGAAATTTTTTAAAAAATCATGTAATTTTATCTACCACAGTTAGATAACTCTCAAAGAAAAAGACTTTACAATACCATTATTAGAAGAAAAAAAATCCAAAAACAAAAATCCACAAAAAATGGTGATTTAATGACATCTTGAGTTATCTGGTGAGGGTGGTGAGGCCCTGGGTGATCTCAGGATGCCCTGAACTTTTGATCAAGAGTGGGATCAAATCAGAATAAA